TTCAGGTTGGGCAGACGGCCCCATGGGTAAAGCGCTGATCACCAGGCAGGCACAAGGATTTGGCTGGACATCCAGCATCCAGGATCTCCTGAGCAGACTGGGAACATCGGGGGAGGGGAGAGGGAGCCAGGAAAAGGAGAGGGGGAGAAGAAGGCATGGGGGAGCAGGAAGGTTGAGTCGGGGTAAGAATAGAGGAGAGCAGGATGAGAGATACCACAATAGATGGAGTCCTTATAGGCTTGAGGAGAGAGCTGACACTAGTGAGATCTCCAGAGATCTACAAGGATAACACTGACTGGCAAACTAAGCAATAGTATAGAGACTACATTAATAGCCCCCTCCTTGATGATAAGGTTGATGACTTCCTTATATGCCATTCTAGAACCTTCATCCAGGGACTGATGGAAGCACAGGCAGATAACAACAGCTCAACACTGAACTCAACTCCTGGAACCCAGTGACAGAGATGGAGGAGTGATGAGCAAAGGGGTCAAGACCATGATGATGAAACCCACAATGACAGCTGACCGGACAAGGGGGAGCTCTTGAATCCCAGACTGATGCCTGAGAGGCCAATGTAGTGCCAGGGAGGAGGCCACAGAAATCACTGGGGCCTTGGGTAGTAGATCAGTGTTTATCATGGTTTATGAATGACCTTTAGGAGCCCATTCCAAATAGAGAGATGCTCTCCCAGCCTGGACACATAGGGAAGGGCCTAGGTCCTGTCCTGGATGAAATGATAGACTTTAGAGATCCCCCCCCAAGGAGGGCCTCACCCTCCCTGGGGAATGATGTGGGGATTGGGTGGGGGGTTGGGGGGCTGGTGGAGGACCAAGGGAGGAGGGGTGGGAGAGGGAGCTGGGATTGACATGTGAAGCATTCATGCTTCTAATTTAAAAACATTACAGAAAAAAAAAAGAAGAAGCCGAGCATGGCTTCATACATTGGTAATCCCAGCACTGGGGCTCAGGGGAGACAGGTGGATCCCTAGAGTTCACTGGGCAGCCTGTCTGTCTAATCCGTGAGCTCCAGATTGAGTGAGAGACCCCGTCTTTAAAAAATGAAGTGGGTGGACAGTGATAGAGGGAGACAGCTGATCTTGACCTCTGACCTCTGCGTTCACATGCGCATATGTATCCATGCACACTCACCCACACATATCACACCTACATACACACGTTTACACATTCACATACGCAGAAGAAAACAAACAAACAGCCTTTAAGCTGAGAATGATCATCATGGTGTCATTTACCAACCCCTGACATAGAAGGTGGGACTCCAGAATTTTCTAGAGACCCCTGTAAGCCTCGGGGCAGGGAAGGCTGATAAAGAATGGGAGAGAAGGGATCAGGGAACAGTCCAGAAAGCAGAGAGTGATCCCAAACACTGTTGTCTCCACACAGCCTTGAGCTTAGGTGAGCTTTCTGAAGCTGGGACAAAAGAATGTTCTAGAAGATGTGGAAAGATCAGGACTGTCACAGTTCTCTGCATCTGGACTGCAGAAAATGAAAAATAGGGCTGCCTAAGCCAGACACACCTCAGTCACCCTCAAGATTCTAGCTAGGGCCTCCAACTCCAGCCGAAAGCCATGGCCTCTGACAAGAGAGGAAAGAAGCAGAGCAGGGAAACCACAGGGGACAAAGTGATCACGTCCGCCCCAGGCTGGGGCCACAAGGGCAAAGAAAACCAAACTAAACTGCACAGAGCAGAATACAATCGCCGGAGCCACGGGCGTCAGGTGAGAGGAAGACACACCACACACACACACACACACACACACACACACACACGCACACACGCACACACGCACACACACACTCATTCAACACACATTTTCTTTCTTTCTTTTGGTTTTTTGAGACAGGGTTTCTCTGAATTGTTTTGGAGGCTGTCCTGGAACACGCTCTGTAGACCAGGCTGGCCTCGAACTCACAGAGATCTGCCTGCCTCTGCCTCCCGAGTGCTGGGATTAAAGGCGTGCGCCACCACCGCCCGGCTCACGTTTTTCTTTTAAGAGCTGTGCAACTCCAGCGCTGCAGAGGTGGAAACATAGGTCCCTGTGCTTCACTGGCCAGGTGCTCACTTGGTGAATTCAGCCCAGTAAGGGATCTTGTCTCAAAAAACCAAGATGGAAGACAGCTGAGGCTGTCCTCTGGCCTCCACGCACACACACACACACACACACACAGCGCAAAGAAGAAAGCAAAGACTCCAAACTGCACCTGTGGGAAAGCCACGCCTCTCTTGGGAGGAGAGAAGTGCCACTAGACACAAGGTGCCACTGTCCTGTAGGCCATGGCAAGGGAGGGGGCATGAGAACTCGGACTCTTGAGGGAGGGGCAGCAGGCACCCACCACACTGCTGGGGGCATCTGGGAGGTCTCTAAACCGGGCAGTCTGAAGACGTGGACTACAAGCACCACAGGCAGGGTCAGGTTCTGACATGAGCTCAACCCACTCAGTGGGAAAGGACGGCAGCCAGGTTCCTCACCGCAGTCCTATTTGCAAGAGCCACAGAGGGGAAAACGTCAGCCCACACAGTGGTAGTGACGGTCACTGTTTGTTCAGGGTCTCATCTAAGTCCCGACCATTCACAGTGTGGTCCAGGGACCGGCAGCCAGCATCCTGGGCGGCAGGACGGGCTGTCTGGAAAGACAGGCTTCCTGCACCCACCCCTATTCATGTTGAACCTGCATTTGGAAAAGTGTCCTGGGAAACCCTCTGGGAGGCACCCACGTGCCACCATGCATGTGTGGAGGTCAGAGGCCTCCTCCTACCGTGTGGGCTCAAGGGTTAAACTCAATTTCAGAGGTGAGTGTCCTTACCCCTCCATGTTCCCACTGAGACACAACTTTAAATCTCTCCCCACACCAACTCATGGGATCTTCTGACAACCCCATGGCCAGCACCCCCTCACCACCTGCATGTTGGAGGCGGGACTGCAAAATCATGGGAGAGCATGGCTGTAGACACGAATGATGTGTGGCCATAAAACACACCTTCACGTGAATCAGAAAGCTCTTTAATAGGGGATGTGGCCAATCTCCAAGACAAACTGTCACCTGAACACTGTGATGGCTTGAATGAGAAGTGTCCCCGTTAGTCTTTGGCATTTAAACACTTGGGGCTCCCGGTTGCTGGCACTTTTGGGGGGGAGGTCTAGCTGCTGCAGCCTTGCTGGGGGAAGTAAGTACCTGGGGGCGGGCTCTGAGAGTAAAACGCCCCTCCTACTTCTGGCTTGCGTTTCACGTGTTCTGTTTGGAGATGCGAGCTCTGCGCTTCTGCTCCTGCTGCTGCCATGACGTCCTCACTAAATACACCCTCTGTCTGTAAGTCACCTTGGCCACAGGAACGGGAAAGTGACTAAGACACACACCATCGTGTTGTGGGATAATCTTTCTCTTTGCTGTGAGGGTGTGTCTTAGCCAAGGTGCATTCTGATTGGTTTACTAGAGAGACGAATGGCCAATAGCCAGGCAGAAAGAGGTGAGATGGGACTTCAGGGAGAAAGAGTAACTCGGGGGAATAAATCTAGGGGGGGTTGGGCTTACAGAATGGAAGAGAGGTAAAAAGCCACCTGGAAGGACACAGATTAGTAGAAAGAGGTTAATTTGTTATAAGACTACTTGGGAACAAGCCTAAGCTAAAGGCCAAGCTTTCATAATTAATAATAAGTCTCCAAGTCATTATTGGGGAGCTGGTTGCTCCCAAAGAATGTCCAACCAGAAAGTCTGGCTACACCGTCATTTGTATGAGAAGCAAAACAGAGATCAGAATGTTTGCCTAAACTCTTCAGCACCCAGACATCTTGCCTGCAAAGGTATCCACGAGTGCTAAGCAGGAGTTACCTCTGGAAAGTGGAACTCAGAACCTGGGGGAAGGAAATTGGGGGGGAAACTGTTTACTGTGACACATTTCCATCATGTTGACTATGGAGGAATGGGTATTTCCTATTCCAAAATGAATGAAAAACAATGTGTTTTCCTTTCCCCCTTAAAACTAGTGGGAAGGTGCTAGGACTGTGGAGGAGCATGCCGTTAATCAGGACAGCCAAGGCTACACAAAGAAGCCCTGTTTCAAAAAGCAAAACAAACAACAACAATGATTAATAATAATAACTGGTGGAAAGGGAGCTGGGAAGATGGCGCAAGGCTGAGAGCACTTCTTGTTCTTGCAGAAGACCCAAGTTCAGTTCTCAGTACCCAGTCCATTCACCCCAAAATTACCCGTAATCAATTCCAGGGGACCTGACGCCCTCTTCTGGCCTGTGAGGTCACCTTCACCCATGTGCTCATGCACACACACACACACACACACACACACACACACACACACACATTAGGGAGTGAGACATGCCGGGAAGGGCCAGCTAACAATGGCTTCTCCAGCAGCGTGACTCCAGTCCTTCAATATCATCCCCACAGAGAACGTTTAGCAACGGCTAAAGACACTTTGGGGTGGCAGCAATGCCCAATGCTTAGAAGGTCAGGATGCCAGCAACCATGCTCCACTGCCCAGGACGTCAGGAGTGCCAAGAATAACAAGCTGGGAAACCTGTCCAGTAGACCCTGCTGTGCTCCGAGAGAGAGAGAGAGAGAGAGAGAGAGAGAGAGAGAGAGAGAGAGAGAGAGAGAGAGAGAGAGAGAGAGAGAGAGAGAGAGAGAGAGAGAGAGAGAGAGGCCACCTCAGGGCTCTAACCTTGTGCAGTTCTCATGTAGCAGGTCTGGGTTGACCCAAGATTCTACACGTGTAAATGACTGCAAACACTGCAGTGAGGCCATCTCCACCCCGCTCGCCCAGCTCCCAGTACTCTTGTATAACGCAAGAGGATACATTGGGTTCAGAAAAGGAGCTGGAGTCTTGAGGCCTGGTTAGATGGGAGGTATCAGAGGACATTGGCTCTAGTAAGAGCAAGCTTGAGGGCTGCTGTTGAGCCCCTTTGGGGGTTACAAGCCTGAGGTTCCTCTGAGACTAGAGGTGCCGGTGTCTGGAACTCACCATCCAGGGTCTCCACGGAGAGCTGCAGGCCCAGATTGTGCCGAGGGTTGACCACCCAGTGGTTGCTGGTGGCTGTGATGTCAAACACCAGCCATCCCTCCTCAGAAGCCCAGAGGGTACGACTGTCCAGCAAGAAGAGGTCCGACTCCCTGGAAAGAAGAAAGAGACACACAGCACGAGGTTAGGCAGGTCCCAGCTCAGCTACCCTGACAGCCAGCAACTTACCAGACAGGGAAAGCCCTGTGTAACCCAGCAAGTAGGGGCATGACACCAGTCCCCTGCACACATGCTTGTCAGAAAAGGACCTGGGCACAAGGACCGTTTATCAAATGTGACAGAAAGAAAGTATAGGAGAAACCTAAGTACACACGGGAATAGGAAGTGGGCACAAGGCCATCTCATGCTACCAGATGTCAAGGGACCTTAGCAAGACACAGGAGAGGCAGGAACTAAGCAGCCTGCGAGTTGCTGGGGCAGAAGGTGAGGCCAAGGAGGCCATTCACCATGTGCCTGGTGCCACACCAACAGCTCTGCGCAGGGGGAAGCCATGACTCACCCTATGAGAGGTGGAGGATGGATGGCTTGCTGGCTGAGAGTTGGAGCAATGGACGGATTTATGGATAGACGATGGATGGGTGGATGGATGGATGGGTGGATGGATGGGTGGGTGGATGGGTGGATGGATGGATGGGTGGGTGGGTGGGTGGATGGGTGGATGGATGGATGGGTGGGTGGGTGGATGGGTGGATGGATGGATGGATGGATGGATGGGTGGGTGGGTGGATGGATGGATGGGTGGGTGGGTGGATGGATGGATAGATGGATGGATAGACGATGGATGGGTGGATGGATGGATAGATGGATGGGTGGGTGGATGGATGGATGGGTGGATGGGTGGGTGGATGGATGGATGGGTGGATGGGTGGATGGATGGATGGATGGATGGGTGGGTGGGTGGATGGATGGATGGATGGGTAGATGGATGGATGGATGGATGGGTGGGTGGGTAGGTGGATGGGTGGGTGGGTGGGTGGATGGATGGGTGGGTGGATGGGTGGATGGATGGATGGATGGATGGATGGATGGATGGATGGATGGATGGATGGGTGGGTGGGTGGATGGGTGGATGGATGGATGGATAGATGGATGGGTGGATGGATGGATAGATGGATGGGTGGGTGGATGGATGGATGGATGGATGGATGGATGGATGGATGGATGGATAGGGGTGATAGATGTGTAGATGTGTGGAGGATGGATGGTTAGGTAGATGAATACCATCCTGCCCTTGTGGATTTTTAGTTATCAAGACTCAGTTTCAACATTCCGAGGCCTTCAGTGGTCGACTAAAGTACCTGAGCTCCTGTGCTGTGCTAGGCACTGGGGTGGTGCTCCTCTCCAACCCAGACCCTTCCCCGGGCCTGAAAGCTGCCATCAGCCCTGGAGTTTCCATCTTTCCTGGGAACAGGGTACGCTTTTGTGGCTCACACACAGACTTCAGTATGGCAATTGCTGGTTGAGCACAGATCACTTGCAGGCTCTGGGATAGGAAGCTCAACCAGCATCCTGTCACCAGGTCCTCGCAACAACACCATGTGTTGGAGAATCCTGCCCACACCGCTGGGCAGACAGGTCTGGATGTGTTTCATTAAACTCTCAGAGTTGTTGACAAATCAGACCTATTGCTGTCTGTTCCCCTAAGCCAGCAGCCAGAGCCAACACCAAATGCCACTCTAGAAAGAGTCTCCAGTTGGTCCCAGTCCCCTCCTCCTACTAAACTATTGCTGGCACCCCCAGTCATCATGCCGTATATCTCAGAGGTCTGCAAGTTCACTCTTCCTGATAGGAGCCATACTGCATTATAAGGCCACCAAAGGCCATTAATACACGCAAGCCAGGGGGCTAAGCTATAAGCAGACCTTAGCACCTCGATACATAGCTAGTGCCAAGGCAGACATGACGGGACCAGTGGTCTCATGGATCAAAGTCACCAAAGGAATGCTCTGAGCTGGTTCTCCCTCTTCTCATCCCCCCAGGCAAAAGTCTAGGCATAGAGAACCTAGGGGCCTTAAGCAAGTCACATGTCCAGGTTTGGGAATGGTGGACGCTTCAGACATAGGCAACATCACGGGGACCCTTAGACGGAGGGTGTGGGTGGCTTCCATGCCCACCCCCCTCCACCGTGTTTAGAAAAAGTTGGATTACATCACTGCTTCTGCCAGAACACCATGTGTTTTCCCAAACTCACGCTGACAGCTAATCCACAATGTGATGGCATTAAGAGGTGGGCGATTTCAGAGGTGCTGAGGCAATGGAGAGGTGCAGTCCTTGCGAATGAACGGACCAGCCCTTGCGAGAGACGCAGAGGGACAGCATCTGAGCCCTTGGACTTCCTGCCTTTCACTGTGTGAGGACAGCGCAACAGGGTGCCATCTTGAAACAGCAACATCTGAGGGGCCCAGATCCCACCACGTCTTGACTACCAGCCTCCAGAACTATGACGTGCATTTCTGTTCCTGTAAGTTTCCCAGTCTTGGGCACTTCGTTACAGTAGCAGAAACAGACTAAGGTGCTACAAGGTCTGATCTTAAGCCAGTCAATAAGCCACTGGGCAAGAGACTGTGTGGTCCCTTGGGAGTCAGCCCAAAGTCCTCCAGACCTTCAGACGTCCGTACTCTTGGTTTCTTATGACAGAGGCAAAGAAGCCTTGTTAGGGTCACGTGGGGTTAGAAAGACCCTATGTTTGACTTGAATGTCCAAGCTGAACGATAATAATGACCTAATCCTCAGGACCCACTTACTTCTGCCCTGATGTTCCTTTGTCTAGAATACCTTACATGGCATTCAAAGCCACACATAGGGAAATCTGCCAGGCTTCGTTTCTGATTTGCCTGACGGCTTCCCTGACTCTAGAGAACTCTGGGACCATCCGAAGCGGTTGGCTACCCTGATAGTCAGTGGACAGAAGCAGAGATGTCACTCCAAGCCAACTCCGGCCATCTGCTCCAAGCACGGGATGAGAAACTTGGGTGGTGACACTGCTAGGAAATCAGATAGACACGCAAGAAGATGGGAGCAGATGCTGGCACCGGAAACAACTCCTGTGACAGAGCGGGGGCGGGGGGGCAGAGCAAGCCTTCACACAGGCTGCCCTGCCCACGGATGCTAACACTTCTTTCATTAAAGACCAGGACACTGGGGACAGATGTGTCAGGCCAGAAGTGACTCATCGCTGGATCACCATGAAGGCGGCCACTCCCCACACCCATCAGAGTCTGCAGTGTATCTCAGGCATGCACGGAGAAGCCGCACCTTATGTGAGGGGACAGGGGCGGGATGAAGATGTCCAGACGCCTCACCAGAACAGAAGCGGGACCACGGGCAAGGGACATCGGGGACAGCCTCAACGGAAGGGGGGGGGGGAGCTGAGCGGGAAACGGGATTCCTGATGTCGTGGCACTGCAAACGACACTGGTCATAGGACTGAGAAAGCGGTGGCTGGGCCTCTGGGATATTCTTATTTACCTAGAGCACAGCGGTGCGGCCCAGCCCAGGCGAGAACAGAGGTGGGGAAGGGCGCAGGAGCTGGGGCCCCAAGGAACCTTTGCCACTCCTGGAGTCTGGGTGCTTTCCAAGCCGGCACTCTGAGTGTCCCCCAGCCCTCAGTCACGTTAAGGTGTCACTCCCACGTTGGGCATGGTGGCTCACACACGTAATCCTAACACTGGGGAGGCTGACGCGGGACTGTCTTTGTAATGAGTTCCAGGCGGCAGACATGGTTCCCGTCTCACATACGTGGGCATGGGGACACGTGGTCATTGCCCTCCCAGGGGCAAGCCTCATACATGGTGGAGCTAGGCTGTGGCACAGGAAATCTAAATCGAGAACCTCTGTCCCTACGCCTCGTCCCCCTCTCCCGGCCCCGACCCCCAGGTCACATGTTAGCAGGGAGTGTGTGAGGTACAGGGTGTTTAGGTCCTATGTGGTGCCTGCTATCCTCTCTGCCCTGTGTGGGACAGGGACAGAAGGAGGAGGGTGGGATACAGGGTGAACAGAGACCTGAAGGCAGCTCATCCCAGGCCGCGGTGTCCTCCTGGGTAAAATGGGGACAGAGTCATCCTGGATGGCAACTGGGAAGGGTCAAGTGAAGACAGGGCACACACCTTCAGTGTTCCTGAGCTACACACTGTACCGGTTATGGCAGCAACGGTAAGTTCTCCCCGCTCTGCTCTGGGAAATTCTAGGGCGGGGCCACTCTGAGGCCCCAAAATCATCTCCAACGGGAGGGCCTCCATCCACACGAGGACTTTCAGCGGTGGGCCTCGCGCATGTGCAAAGCAGCTGTGCAAGACCCTCTCTGTGTGACCACTGCCAGCTCCTCCTGTCTGCATCCAGGACCCATTCCCTCAAAAGCAAAGGGGGCTGCTCTCTGTCTTTAAAGTCTAGGCCGATTGTGCGGCCTGCTGGGAGCAAGGTCTAGCCTGGGCCGGGTAGGGAAAAGGGGCCAGTCAAAGAAACACACCCTGAGCAGAGCCAAAGAAACACACTTTGGCCCTGCAACCAGAACCAAAGAAATGTACCCTGACCCTGAAACCAGTGCCAAAAGAACACACTTTGTCCCTGGAATCAGAGTCAGTGAAAGAAATGTACCCTGGCCCTAAAATTGGAGCCAAAAGGCTAAAAAGGAGCAGAGAAAGAAACATATTTTGTCCCTGAAACCAGAGCCAAATCTGACCCTAATCCTGTGTAAAAAAGTAACCAATCCCGGAGCAGAGCTCTAGCCAATCTGAGCTCAGCACTGAAATCTGACCAATCCCCACCCTGGAAGCCCTATATAAACCCTGTGTCTGTTCAGCTTCTGTCTGTTTGCGCTACCTGGCTGTCCTCTACCACTCTGGCAGAGGGCAGCCACTCTCCTGGATCCTTCCCTCCCAATAAACCCCTTCAATGAGCTTTGGGTGAAGATCTTTTGTGGTGGCGACTGAGCAGAGGCAACCCTGGGCAGAGCAGAGTGAGCAGGGCTGTAACACTTGCCCGGGAAACCTTCCCTTGGCAGAGGGGAGTTGCCTGCTCTCTGCTCTCCAGAAGCAGAGCTGAACTGTAGCAACTTCGCCCAAGAAACCTCCTGCCCAGCAAAACTGCTACACTG